GCTGCCAGTGAGCTGCTGCTGTGTGCCACTCCCAGGGCAGCTAACACTTGCATCGCCAGGGATGATGGCACTGCCCTTGCCATTTAAACATCAGTGTTTGACTACACACTGGAAGAAGGATTCAGTATTGGTAACATCTGCCTTGAATCTTGTGAGGATGAACAAGAGAAACAGTACAGAGGAAGCAACACTGCTGTTGGGTTTACTCTGCCTTTGAGTGGTTACCAAAACTGTGGCCACTGAATGGCTGTTGGATGATCTGCTTGAGACAAATTTGGTGTTTGAATGTAGTTTTCAGTGGGAAGTTTGTATTTCATAAAACATGCAACTAATTAGCACCTGCTGGGCTGCCTGTTTGGTAGCTGGGAAGAGGCCAAAGATTAGATGCTTTTCAAAGGTGAATTAATTTTTTATCCATACTGGTTAGGGGAAGAGAGTGACAGGGAAGAAGTGCATGGTTTTGCCTGAGCTGTTCTGTTCCTGCCTGCTCAGGATATCTGAAGGATCCCATGGAGAGTGCAAGGTAGCCATGGTACAGCACTGCCAGCTCTTCTTGTCCAGGGTAAACATGACGTAGAGCTGCTGGATCTGCAGAAGCTGCTTCTGTGCCAGCAATGAAATGAATGGCAGGTAAGAATTTCTGCTTGGTTTGAGCTGACGTGCCATGGAGCCCTGCAGTTCTCTGCACCGTGCTCTCCATGGTTCATGTTTCTGGGCATATGGTGTGAGACATGTCTGATTTGCTGGGGTTCTGAGTTGAATAGAAGTAGCTGAAACTTTTCCAGACTGGAAATGGCCCTCAGAGACCTGTTTGAAAGGGGATTTGTCTGAGCTAATGAATTCTGTTCCACCTGAGCTGGCTGTGAGCCTGGCCCTGGAAGCAGGAGGTGAGTGCATACATGCCTGCTGCTTGTAACAGGAAGGATTTTTCTCCTTTGTGGTACTTGGAACATGTACACTCAGGCCCCTCCTTGCCCTTCTGGTGCACAGGTATACAAGGCAGAGCACACTCCTTTTCTCAGTTGCTGAGCAAGGAATAAGTTGTGCCTGGGCTAGCATTGTGTCTGCTCCATGTTGTGGTTTCTTCACAACATGGGTAAGCCATCAGGAAAAAAAATCAAAACAAATTGTTTGCATAGCTGTTGCCCAAATAAAACAATCTTTCTTTTCAAACGTGTGAGTTCATGTTAAAGCAAGGCCTGTATGCAGCTGGTGCCCTAAAATAATATAACAAAAAACCCCAAAATAAAATCGATGGGTGAATGGAAAGAAGCTAATAGTTGTCAGGAACAAAGTGTACTCTCCTGAAACACTGGTCTTGGGTTGCTCTGTTTTGTTCTTTGCTGTGTTCAATGCAGGTAGGTCCCAGTCACAAGCTCTATCCCACTCCCTTAAGAATATGCCTACCTCAGAGAAACTTGCTGCCCTGGTGCCAGTTGTTCCTACTGCTGTCCTCACCCAGTGGAGGGGTTCTGTGGCCAAGGTGCAGCATACCAGGTCTGCTGCTGATCAGATATACTGCTAAGTCAGGTAGTGGTTTAGTGTGAGTCGTTCAGAAGTTTAGCATCAATGTGTACAACATCAAATCTGGTTTGGTGGCCACTTCCCTGTGGAACATTTTTTTTTAATCTGCCCAGAAGCCTCTGCATGAAGGTAAAATGTGTCAATTATTGCCTAGATCATGGGGATACCAATGATGTTGTGCATACACTGGTGCAGTCTCAGTGGCTCGGCTCTTGAAGACTTCGCTGTTCTTTTATCCTTTCAAAACTTGCTTTCACTCATTGACAGATCAGTATTCAGCCAATGGCCGTGCACAAAGTCTGTTACTTGAAACAGGAAGGAATTGTTCTTTGTAGCTCATGTAACGCACTTGCACCCATTATTATAACTCAGTACATAGGTATATAAGGCAGACTATGCTTATCACCCTTTCAATTTCTCACCCTGGAGAAAGCATGCTCCATCAATTTACTTTACATAATTCACCTGCTTTCCTGGTGGCTGATTATCTTTACTCATAACCTGGAGATAAACACCGCTTTGTGTCCTGCAGGTTGCTATCTGTGATAGTAGTCTTTGCAGTAGTGATTTCAAGTGACCCTCCACCTTGACCCAGCTCTCGTAAAAGATACTGCTGGTGGTTCCCTATTGTAGGTTGTAGGTATTTTCATTGTCTTGTGCAATATTGCAAATCAGCCACAGCAGCATCTGCTGATCCCTCAAACCTCGCCCCAGGAAGGCACAGAATCTCCTTCCGAAGGAGGTATTGTCTTTCCATCACTGGTGCCAGTGAGCAATGTGCCAAATGCAAGTGCTGACCTCAGCAGCAGTGTAGTCTCCATCTTCTAGTATAGTTCCAGCTCAGTCAAAAAGGGTCTAGTGCCTCTCCCTTGCCAAGGTCATTAGCTTTTCCTGTTAGTGCTTGTGGCTCCTGCTTCTGGCTTCCAATGAGGGTGCTAGACTAGACAAAGTGGCACAGAAGGCATCTGTGACACCTTCATTCCAAAAACTTGGCAGTGCAGTACTTTGTCTTTTATTGAGCTTCCTTCAGCAGTTTTGAGTAATAACACTGTGATTTGTGCAACTTCCAAACCTCCTGGATGCCATGTGTTACTGGACTGTGGGGGCTGCTGAAGAGGTATCTCCCATTTGGCCATTCATACTCTGTACTGAATGTCCTGTTTTGTTTGTGTTTTCTCTCTGGATGATGGGAATGGGAAGCATCCTCATCCCTAATGCTGCCATATCCAGTCATATTTCATTCCTGAGCATTCACAGCTATTTAGTAATGGAGGCATTATTACACAGCTGGCAAGATAAGAAAACCAGAATTATTTGAGTGCATTATTCAACTGTGTTCCTTTAATGTACTTTTTAATATAGTATAATGGATGACCTCCAAGTAGTGCATGGTGTTAACTTGTGGGTGGTAGAGCAAATCTGGCATAAGAAAAGCTTGGTAGAGGGGAGGTTGTAGCCGTTGACATGCAATCCTTAGATCTCTTTTCTAAGAGTGAGGGGAAAACAATCACAGTTATATACAGTCCAGCAAAAGTCAAGGTATGAGATAGGCCAAGGAGTGGACTGTGGCGTGGTGCCATTAGAGGTCACAACAACCTATTGCTGTTGCACCAGACTTAGGGAAA